CACTGACTGCACTGAACTCTGGGCAAGTGACTCAACTCCTCAGCGCTTCACGTCATCACGCAGCAAACTGAGGACAGTAACTGTACCTGTCCTCCGGGGCTGCTGGCAGAACTGCATGCTATGAATAACACATATTAGGTGCTTATGACGGTGTCTGACACGATCCTTCAACTGCTTGATAGTCGATGATCTTTTCACTGGCTGAAAATCTTCATCAAATACTCTTATTATTTAAGTAAAGTTCTATTGGCTGAATGCTGAAGTTGTTTTCAGTATTTCCCTACTGTAAATACTGCACTGGAAATGAAACCTCTATGCATTACACTTATTTTACATTCCTTACGTTGTTTGCTCAGGCTAGCTTATCGGAAATAAAATAAACAGATCCAAGAGGACAAACATTTTTATGAGTCTTGATTCAGATGATCACATTACTCACAAACTGTTAGGATTTACAAGACTATCAGAAATGGATGAAGATGCCAATTAATGATACACTTGCAAATAACATGTTATACAAAAATCAGGGGCAATACTTTATGGGCTTCCAATCCCAGGTAGCAAAGTTGGTAAGTATATGAAATGTGCTTATTTATTGTGTTTTTCAAGAACAAAAGGAGCTCCAAAGTTCCTGCTTTGGGGGTGTTTGCCATATCCTCCCGTGGGGGTCTGTGTTGGCCCCTGGTGAAGCCCAGACATTCTTCTTCGGTGTGGGCAGGGATGGTCTCTCATTGTGGACAGCGTGGCGTGTGTACAGAGCACTTCTGCATGCTCTCCTTGGGCCCTCACGCAAGCCTGCTTTCATTGTAGCCATGAGAACTTTAAGGTTCAAAGGGATTTAAGGGAGGCTCAAGCCATCAGGCAGAGGAAACGAAGTTGGAAGAACTCAGGTCTTCCACTCCCAAGGGCAATGCTGCTTCCCTACCAGCAGGTGGGAAGGCAGCCAGGGCAGACAGGAGGTGCTGGAGCAGGTGCTGAATCAGGGACCTAACTGTGGTAAGAGGCAAGTGACTGCTGGGTCCCAGCATGTGACCCGGGCCGCAGAGTTAGCCTGACCCAGAGCCAAACCCTGTCTCCACCGCTTACAGTCTAAGGGACCCTCAGCAAGTTACTGTTTCCTTACTCTGGGCTCCAGAGACACTCACTCCACGGGGCTTGACAGGACAGGAGAACCGTTCCTACAGGGTCTTCACAATGAACTGACACTTTGCAGACAGCTGGGGAGTGACTCCAACACCTGGCTTCACCCCAGCTCGGGCAGACCATTACAGCTCGGCACTACACACTGGCTAGCATCTCACGTTAGAGGCTGTGGCCCGCCAAGAGGAGGAGCTGAAAAGTAATAATCTATCTGCTGTCGTTTCTCAAAGCAACTATCGTGTTCTGTTCTTTATAGTTTTTCAACAGCAAATGGGGATAGTCACTGAGGATTTATGACAGATGAACAGACGCACAGCAAGCAAATGCCATGCATACTGTGGAGTCTGATACTTTGCAAACCTGAGAGAAGTCATAAACTACAGCAAAATGAAAACTGTATCTCTGCCTCCGCATGAGAAAAACTCACTTCGTTCTTTTAAGTTGGTTCCCGCCACTTCATTGTCTGGACTCCAGACAGCCCTTGGAAAATCCCCCTTATCCTTTGCTTGGGAGACATCTACCACAAAAGGCACATTCTAAACCGTTTCTACCCTTGAGGGAGAAATAAAAATCTCCTTGCAGTAACGACTGCCACCTTGTGGCCACACATGAAATACCACTAATATTTTGGTATACTCTATAATTTATACTCTTCTAGAAAAATCCGAATTGTATACATTCCTTTCACCGGGTTCCTATTTTGTTCCAAGTTAATTTCTTGTTCTACTTTACCACAACACAATCTAATTGTTGGTGACACCTGTCACTGCTTCTGAATCACAGGATTCCCTCCCGGAGTCGCATATGACACATTTCTTTATTTGTTCACTCGAGTAACTTGAAACAGCAACTGCTGCACAACCAGACTAGGCTCACTAAATGTCTATCCACTGTCTGACTCAAAGGTTATCAGCTCACTGAGGCTGTCTACGCTAATGTCACAGAAACCACTGGCTCTTCGGCTCAGGCCCTGGCATAGCTGCCTGTCATTTGATTCATGGTATGAGCAGAGACTTGAGCTGCACATGCAGGGGGTGACCTGCATCACCCACCAAGTGGTCCCATCCTTCCTCACAAGGGTGTCTCAAGCCCGAGCTGTTGCCCTCCTCATTTCCGAGAAAACAGCCGGATGAGGAGGGTGAGGATGGAAAAGGGCTTTTTGCAGGCAAAGAGCACAGCACAAGAAACAGGATTTCGAGGACACTCTAGGTCGCTGTGGAGGACGGCAGAACTGGAATTCCACAAGGACCATGGACCCCAGACATGGGAACAGAGAACCAGGGCAAGGTGACAGGGGCAGTGTAGACTCCAGGGCTGTCTGGAGGAGCCACAGGCCATGAGGAGGAAGAAAGGAGCGCAGGGGAACGTGGCCTAGGAAGCTATTAGCTGACACCCCAGCTCCTGCTTAAACAACGTGGGAGTGCACACTGTGCATCCCCTTAATACGTCCACCTAGCTCCAGCTCCCAGTGTTCCCTGCCCCACCCATTCTCCAGGCTGCGCATGTGTTCTTTACAACACGGATGTGAACACAGGTGAGCCTCACTCAGTCAGAGAAATGCAAATTAGAACTCTGAAGAAACCATTTTTAAAATCCCTCCGATCATCAAAATGATAGATCGCAAGTTGTGGTGGGAGGGTGGGGGAAATCGGTCTTCTCATGGTTTGAGAGAGTGAATTTAGAAATTCAGCAAGCAAGCTGTAAAAGCCTGTAGTCAGACTGCCTGGAATCAAAACTTCTGTCCTTGGAAGCTAAATGTCTTTATGCCACAGTAACTTCATATATGTAAAATGGGATTAATGCTAATAAACTTATTTCTTAGGGTTACTGCAAGGATTAAATGAGATAATACACATAAAGCACTCAGAACAATGCCTACTTATATAGGTGGTAAAATGTTGGCTATCTTTAACCATTATGGGGGAGAAGGTCAATGGGACTCAAAATTTTAAATGCATATACTCTGAACAAACAATATAACTTCTCATAGTGTATCATACAGAAATATTAGCACAATATGTAAAGATATATGCAAAAAGGGACTCATTGCAACACTGATTGAAATAAAAGACTGTGTACAACCTACACATAACAATAGAAAACAAGTTAAATAAATGGTGTCATGGTCTTAAAATGGAATACTATGCAGCCATTAAAAATGAGGCAGCTACATGTATACAAATATGAAACAATCTCCACGATATATTATTACATTTTCAACAAAATAAAGTATAGAATGGTGGGCAATATATACCACAATTTGTGTTTTAAAAAAATAAATGTGAATGCATGTGTGCTCTCATGTGCAAAAATGTTTTTGAAAGTCTACATATGAAATCAGTAAAAACTGTTTCTTTCAAAGCAAGGATATGGATATTGGAGGATGCTTATATTACCTACTGAAAAAAAATTATTTTATAGTAGAAAAATGCAATCTGATCTGTCATATCTCTGCTTACATTTCTTCCATTTGCTCTTAGGACTAGAACCCATGTTCCTTAGCACAGCCCAGAAGGCCAGGCCCTTCACGGCCTAGCCCCGGCCACCTCTGCAGCTTCAGTTCTCACCAGGCCCCTCCTCAAACTCTGTACTTCACACACGCTGGCTCTGTTCACCCCCATGGCCCTGCTCGCCCCACACCTGTGCACTTGCTGTTATCCGCTGGGACCTATCTGCCTTCATTCTCTTTTTGCCTAACTAATTCTAACTCACCCTTCTGGTTCCCTGGATCAGGTGGGATGTCCCTCTCCTGCTCCTACCTCTATTGCCCAGATGGACGAATAGACAAGGGACACGTTCCATATTCACTCTCCCAGCGTGCCTTTGACTACGCGAAGGTGCTGGAAGGCCTTGGCAGACCCTCGTGGTGGCTTCTCAGAAGCCGTATGCCCTCTTCATTGACAACAGAAGCCCGGTGCTAATTGGACAGCACAGCGCCCCGCCCCGGGGATGAGCCAAGGGTGGTGGAGTCTACCATGGTAAACCAGCTTCCCCTGGCTAGATATTGCTCTTCCAGCCTCCTCTGCAGCTAAGGGGGAGCAGGTGGCTCAAGTCTAGAAAAATTTTTCTCCCCCCAATAAAAGTAGAGGGTCCCATGAACCCCTGTGCCAGAGCGCCCATGCACCCTCCTCTGGGTGCTGCCACATGAGGGGCGATGTTGAACACTGTGGCAAATAACTTGAGACCCCAAGGGGAAGAGATGCCCTGTGTCACTAAGCAACTAAGCCAACCCTATCATTGCTACCACCAGACTCCTCCAGAAAAAAAGTGTGTATTGAAGTACTCAACTCATCCTTTCTGTTTACTGTCTAACCGACTATTGGTTGGGTATTCTATTAACTGCAGCCAAAAGCATTCCTAACTATACACCATTAGAGGTTAGACAGACTGAAATCCCAGGATCAGTCCACAGAATGAAGGCAAGGGTCCCTGATCAAGGGACATTACAGAGCAAGGTGCCCGCCATGGGCCTACCCTGGTCTGAACTCTTGTTAACCATTTAGGAGCGGAGCCAAGGTCCAAATCACCAAGATAAGCGGTCCATGTACATTTACTCTGTACTTAGACGCAGTGACCTTCACTCTGCTAGAGAAGACTTACCTATAAAGACCTTCACAATCTTAGGACACAACCCTCAAGGTGATCCTTCAGCACAGCATGAAAGAAACTGGTTACTCCACTGGTTTCAACTTTCTCCCACAGGTCAGCAGACGTCACTAGGTACCTTCATGTGACACTACCTTGGGAGCTAAATCCCTCCAAAGCGTCTGATATTCTACTTCACGAAATCTTCAACTTCTTATTGCCTCAACCCTTAAAGAAAGGAGGCCCTGGAGGTGGAGGACGCGAGCCATACTCACAGGGGTCTGAAAGCAGCAGAACAGCTGAGTGAGGAAGGGGTGATTGCGGGCCAGGGACAGGATCCTCTTCTCCGTCATGGTGCACTCCACATCGTCATCCTGGAGGATCACGTCCTTCTTCAGCACCTTCACGGCATAGAGGTCTCCTGTTTCTTTTATTCTTGCGAGCATCACCTATGGCACAGTGGTAGGAGGGGCACGGGCATGAGAATGCCTGCCGTCCTTAGGGTGTGGGCATGCAGGGGCGGAAAGGGGAAGACGCATGGGAAATGTGAGTGTGTGCACACGCACACACCCCGCACAATATACATGTCACATGCTTACTTGAACCCAAACAGTGAAAGCCGACTCACCTTCCCAAAGCTCCCCTTCCCCAACACTCGGATGAACTCAAACTTGTCGATACCAAGCCGGTTGGAAGAATGAACGCCGACCCCGTTTCCTTCTTTGGTGCTCTCCTTTCCCTGTCGTCTTAGAGTTGATCTGGAAACGAGCTTCTGTACAGAAGAGGAGGAGACGCCGAGTCAGAGCTCAGTGTGTGTGCATGAAGCGTTTATGGGTGGAGAAGACCTCACCTGAAGCTTCAACACTCAATACAACACGTAGAGTAAGATCAATTCAGTTTGACTTGTGATCAGGTTCTGCCATTCAAAACTACCTCCGCATCAGCTCCTGATCTGTGCTTACTGTATTTCGGAAAGAATCATTTAAAAATATATCTAAGCCACAGAATTTCAGCTTATGCTCAAGTGGGCATGTATAGACACATAAACACCTTAGTCTGATACCTCTGTTTTCTTGCGGTGGTGGATTTCTACAGGGTGGTCAGGTGCCAAGGGCGCCACCTGGTGTCCACTTCCTACAACTAGGACTTGAATGAATAAGCAACACTATTTATACAATAATTTAAATTATATAAGAGAAATAAAATTCAATGTAAAAACTTGGACAATAAACAAAGGTATGAAGGATAAAATTTAAAATATTTATGATCTCAGCAACCCCCCTCAAAAAAACTCTAAAAATAATTACAAACACATACACACCTGTCTTAACACTTGATTTTTAAAATGAAATCGTTTCATAACACATTTTTATTTAACATTTTGTCACATGTATTTCCCATATCTTTAAATATCCTCCAAGAACATGACTTTTAAGGGTTCTCCTATATTTCATTGTGTGGATATATCACAACTTATCCACTAATTCCCATTATTAGAAATATAGGTTGTCTCCCATTTTTTACTAGTATAAATAACACCCACAGTGAACATACCTGCATTCAAATATTCTGAGAAGGATGATAAAAAGTCTAGGCTTTTGCCCTGGCCAGTTTGGCTCAGCGGTTAGAGCATCGGCCTGCGGACCAAAGAGTCTCGGGTTCGATTCCAGTTAAGGGTATGTACCTCGGTTGCAGTTCAGTCCCCGGCCCTGGTCGGAGTCATGCAGGAGGCAATCAGTCGATGTGTCTCTCTCTGACATCAATGTTTCTCTCTCTCTCTGACATCAATGTTTCTCTCTCTCTCTCTCTCCCTCTCTCTCTCCAACTCTATCTGAATATAAATGGAAAAATATCCTCTGGTGAGGATTTAAAAAAATAAAAAAGAGTCTAGGATTTCAAGTAGTCTGCCTGGGTTCAAATCATAGCTCTGCAACCTAATCCAGTGACCTTGGCGAAATTACCTCCCCATCCTCTCTGTGCCTCAGTTTTCTCTGACAAAGGTGTTATAGCACCTGCTACACGACTTATTATGAGGAGTAACTGAGTAAATGCATATGAAGCACTTAGAGTGGTACACAGTCAATAAACATGAGCTCTGTTGTCATCTTCATCATGTTCATCATAATCTACTTTCTTATGATAATTTTCTGGAAATGGAATTCTTTAAGTCAAAGTGTTAATTTTGAAGACTTCTGATACATAGTAAACTTGCCTTCTGGAAAGGTTGACCACCAGCACGAGTGTTCCAGTCTCACCACATGGAACCAGAAGTATGGCCTCCTCAGTGGGAGCTCCAGCCCCATCCGGTGACAGCGACCCCTAAACGTGAGGTGACTTACAGAGGTCTACCTGGGGACATTTATCATTCAAGCTGCCACCAAACCACAGGTCAAAAGTCTAACATCCTGCACCTTCTGACCCATTTAGATTTTTATTTATTTATTTTTTATCCTCACCAGAGGACCTTTTTCCATTTCTTGTTCAGATAGAGTGGAAGGAAGGGAGGGAGGGAGAGAAACATTGACATGAAAGGGACACATCGAGTGGTTGCCACCTGCACGACCCATCCAGGGCCAGGGACAAACTGCAACCGAGGTACGTGTCCTTAGCGGGAACCGAACCCGGGTCTCTCTGGACCGCAGGCCGACACTCTAACCACTAAGCAAAACTGGCCAGGGTTGACCCATTTAGATTTTTAAAAGAAGCTTATCTGGGGCAACTTTTAAACAATGTTTGCAATAAGCAACTGTACAATAGCCCCAAACTACAAGGATTTTATCTCTTCAACCCAGAAAGACAGTGATAGCCTGATATAAAATGGGTCATCTTAAACATGCGATTGTTTTCATAGTTTCTCCTCCAGAGCTCAGATCACACATTTTTCAAACACAGAAAAAATTTACCAGCTTGAATTTCACTTCCTCCACTTCAATACTTCCCCTGGTTGGGTTGGCATGGGCAGAAAGCTCTAAGCCAGTGTTTCTCCATCTTTTCTTTTTAACCCATTCTTCTCTTTTGATAGACTTAAGATCCTCTGTCTTTTTTTAATGGTGTACTATCAAGTGACAGGTAACTTTGGTTTTCCCATTATTAAATATCAGAATATGAAAGACACGTGGTGACATTAGACAGGTGGCACTGCCCGTTCCTGGAGCTTGTGCCTCACGGTCTATCTTATTCCCAACGTATTTTAGAAGCCCTGGTGTGGGCTGAAATCTCCTCTTCAGGAGCCACTGTCCTGTGCATTAGAACCTCCTCGCGGTATAGCATCCTGCCTGTCTATCCACAAGGCAGAGACTTTGGTGGACTTTGCCAGCGCCTTCCTGAATATCAAGAAATGCAATGTTTACCAGGTATCCTTCAGTACGAAGGAAATGGGGTGCTTAGCTGACACGTTCTGGATAGCCAAGAACCTGATGGTGACTGTACCTCCTTTCCTAAGTACCCAGACCCACTTAACAGCTAAGTCTGGAATCCTCCCGAATCGGCTATCGGTATGCAGCTCTGCCTTTCAGAAACCGCAGCGGGAGCACGGCTCCTTCCCAGCTCCCTGCAGACCCTGGCCAGGAGGGCAGCAACAGGTCGTGAGCCTGGAAAGTGGCCAAGTTCTAATGGACAACAGCAGGTGGGGAGGTCACTCAGGGAGGTAGCAAGACAAAGCAGGCAACTGACACGACCCCAGCCACTCCTGGGAGCTGAGAGGAAGGAACTCCTGTCTGTCAATGAACTTGAGAGATAAATTTATAACTCATAAACAAAACTATAGAACTGCTGGATCCCAGGGCTGTGGAGAACCTCGGACAGCTTCAAGGTCAACCCCCGAAGAGAGGAGGAAGCTGAGGCCCAATGTTAGGGGTCAAATGCACTGCCGGGGGGTGGGGGGCAGCCAAGACCCCTGGGTTCCAAGCTTTTTACCAGACCTCACTGACAGGAAGCTGTTTTTCTTTTTAATCCTCCTTCTGCTTCTTGCTATATCTGCACGCTCATTATTTCTTGTCATATAATTGTATATAGTCTCTGGTTCACGGAACAAAATGCTCTTTAAAAATGCAGTAAATCTGTTTATTGTGCTTGCTGAGATTAGGAACTTTGATTGTGCCACGTGCGCTCCCTTGGGCTTACCACATCTGAACAACTTCTCAACGACAGGGTGGGGAAGAAAGCAAGGTCTCACCGAGGTCGGAGAAATATTTCCGGGCTGGAGGCCCATCCCGGCCAGGGTCTTGGCCAGCTCCACCGCGTTCACGCCGCAGTTCGGGGCCACGTTCGCCTGGCAGCGGATGTGCACGTTCATCTTGCAGACTGTGGGGGAGCAGAGAACCCGGGTTCAGGGCGGAGTCACCGCGCGTGCGGCAGGGCCCCGAAGGGCACCGCACGGCCCGACAGCGCCTTCTCATGGAAGTAGACGTACACTCGTAACAACCCCTGGCATTTTCATCTATTTCTGTTGGGTGCGGAAAGGCTGGCGCACGAGAGAAGAACGCACTTCGAATACATTTTCCCCATCATGACTTGATTAAAGGAGTTCACCTAAGTCACGTGGAGCAGCTACTGCTGATGAACAGCACGATTCAGGAGAAAGAGGAGCGTTCATCAGGGCAGTTCAGCCGACTGAAGAACAGGGCTCAGGCCCACTGACTATGCCCCTCCCTCTCCCCTCCCTCTCCCCCCCTCTCCCCCCTCCCTCTCCCCCCTCTCCCGTCCCCCCCTCGATAAAAGGTAGCAGCCTGTACGCCACACAGAGCGCAGTTCAAACAGGATGGAAACGGTGTTTCGGAGAGAAAAACCCCTACGCGCAGCTTGCTTTCCGAGTATTGTTGCGGTCGGAGCCTGGGCCGAGCCGAGCGCAGCATCCTGTGGGCTGTGGTTCTCAGCTCAGCCCCGGCTCTCTGACTTCTTCGTGGGGGCGGGGAGGGGGAAGCGGGGTTTTAAAGGTCACAGTACATGGCAGTTGGAAGAAGAGAGTGAAGCAAGCTGAACTCCTGTGCAGAGGAAACTGACTCGGGATGACGAAGGACCCAGGGTTTCATCAGCAGAAAGTTCGGATCCAGTTTTCTCCAGGCGGCCTGCTCACGGGAGGCGGACTGGAGCGACAGCAACACACTCCTGTTTCAGGAGGGTCACGCGTCCTGGGAGCGTGCACAGGTTCAGGTTTGGGGGGCCTGAGTGGATGTAATTTAGGGTGCCATGCCCTCTTTAAGAGAGAGAATCTCCACTTGAGTGGAGCGCTCTGGATGGTGCCCTTGCAAGGGAGGGGCCCTGAGGCCAAAGTTCCAGGACCCCATGGGAGATCCACCTCTGGGGAGAGCTGGCATGGGGACACGCAGCCTCCAGTGGCCTTTCTAAAGCAGCATGTGACCATAAAAGCAAACGTTGTAAGAGCCAGACCACTGCAGGTATGCTCCCCTCAGGGCCCCAGGGACAGGAACGATGCCGATGAGCCCACGCGTGGCTCTGCATGTCAGCAGCAACTACACAAAAGCAGGACGTGACTGTCATGTGGGAAACCCACACCCAGGAGAGACCATCCATCATGATCAAGCAGGGCTGAAACCAAAGCTCTACATGAACGGACTGTCTTGATTATACGGGGGGGTGGAATGAATTATTAAATGATGTTCTAGAGAGAGGAAATAATTTGCCCTTTTTTAAAAAAAGAAACAACAACAAGTGACTGGTTCCTTTTTGCTCACAGAAGCAGGCTTGGTACGTCCAGGCAGTCACTGCAAGTCGTTTGACGCCACCCCTGCCTCCCCGGTGACTTAGGGTGTGCCTCCGGCTCTGGAGGAAATTCACATGTATTTCAACAGTGTGCCTGTGACAGTCAGATTGCCATAGCAACACTCAATGGGAGATGACTCAAGGCCAAGAGCTCCCCAACTCTTCCCTGGGCGGGGGTCAGCCCTCATGCCCAGACCCTTTGCTGAGGCCAACGCTTCAAACATGGTTCCACTGGGCACAGTGAGTGAAATGTAAGTGTCCTGTACTCCCCTCAACCTCCATCTCGACCACACACTCCTTGAGAAGACCAGGGTGGCTCGTGTCACAGTCACAACTCAACCCCTGCTCGTCTCTGGGAGGTCATCAGACTTGCTCCCCTGCTGGTCCTTATTCTCTACCCAAGCTGCTCTTTGGCCCACCTCATTTCCTACCCTCTTCCATATCTGACCAAGATCTCATTGTCTTCCTCTTCAAATACCTACTAAAACACACAAGGAGGAGCCCATACTGGGCACTGAATGCACGACAGCCAGCCAGCTGGAACACTGAATTTAACAACTGACTTAATTTTCTATGGTTAGGAAATCTGTGAATCGGACATAGCTCCTCCCCGTGCCTGACAAGGGACACATAACTACAGAGTTACTAAGATGTTAATTTACAAAGTATCTAAAACCACCCATTGGTCCTGGGTCAGATTCTGAACCTACAGAATTGCAAAAGCTTGCATCCTGCCGATGTCATGAAGAAGTGGGTGCCCAGTGCCCCAGCAACTCACTTTTACACTGAAGTCCTTGTCGCATTATCCCCCAGAGCAGGGAGCCACAGTGATCACAGAATGTTGGCACTTTGTAGTTGTGGATGCTGAACTTGTGCGGGATGTTGATTCCGAACCTCTGTTCCGCAATCTGTAACAAAGAGACAGGGCACAAGAGCTGCAGTTCCCCAGCGACAGCATCTGTGAAAACGGAAACAGGAGCCCACCAAATGCAGCGGCGCGATGGTACCCGAGCTGGGTGTACCATTTTACTGCTCAGCCACGACTCCTTACTTGGGCCTTACCGAGCAGACTAAGCACATGGTCTAATGAGGAAGACCACACAGAAAAGTGTGGCGTAGATTAGATTGTTCACCATTTGGCGAGATAGAGATGAACATTTTCATTTCATCTTTTATATTCGGGCTGTATTTCTCTCCCTGACAGTGCCCTCCCAGGTCTTTCATAGACGATATACGCTTTCTCTCAACACAAGCTCTTCCAGAAATTGTGTCACAAGGTTTGTGTGCGGGGGAGAAGGTGGCCCCAGAGGACATGGAACCATAGAAGAGATTCGTTCAGAAGTGACATTTAAGTGGCTCTTTTCAGCCCTCCAGCCTTTCTGTGGCATTTGCATTCTGACATCTGAGTGCAAAGGTGCAGCCTCACATACAAGCGCTTCGTGGCCTGGCTGAGATCAGTGTAACCTCACTGTTTCCAGCACATATTCAGGCGAGGCACAGGCTGTACAGTCTATCCCACAATTTGAAGCACCAACAACACGTCCACACACGACAAAGAATGAGGCAATTAGCACACCTCTTGCAACTTTTCTGACCTCTTTCTCATAAAAAAGAGTGCACACACCTCTACGTGTACTTTGCCAGGCCTGTCTGTGGACAATGAACCACTGAGTTCCAGAGTCGGACATTTCAGTGCCTCTGTAAATCCACGGCTAACGGTCAGCAACCATCCTTCTCCTTTCTCCCTCCAGAATTCAGAACGCCGCCCCCCCCCCCCAGCTCCATGCGAGCGAGGGTCAAGCACTTATGTACAGACACGCATCCCCCCTGAAATGTCTTGAGAGGCTGGAGGAAGCCAACAGCCACCTTACTGAGGAATCACAATTTACACTCAACAGCACACTCACCACATCACTTCCACCTTGTCTAGCCACTGCAAAAATGTCATGAGGGAATTTTTGATGGTATTTCCTTTATCATCATTCTAACTTAAAACGGTCCCCATTTTAAGGATGAGGCTGAGGGAGAAGCAGGGGATGACTCCGCATTCCAGCCCTGCTCATGATGCCAAACTCGGGGGTCTTGTCACTCCTCCAAAGCTCTCTCCAGATCAGAAGAGCTGAATCCCTACTGCTTATACCCGGCTGGTCTCTAAGGTGGTCATCTCAAGGACAGGCCATGCTACACACGTACAGAAGTATAAATGCCATAATATAAAAAGGAGAGGAATTCCAATTCTAATCCCACCACCGGCTTCCAGGAGTGTGGGAAGGGGAGGGAGAAAGAGGGAGGGGGTAAGGAGAAGGAGAGAGAACGAGAAATCGTACGCCTGATTAGCGGACTGCTATCCTCTTACCTTTGGGTCCACTTTGTTAATATTGTTTTGGCAAGTGCAGGCGGTAACAATTAGATGATGGCAGCGCTTATGGACGACACAGGTGCACACTAGGAAATTAAATCCACAGTGAATACATTTATCAGAGGCTCACAGTCTAGCCAGTGCCACGAGTCAACAGGGCTGGACCAAGCCAAGGTGACCTGGGAGTCTGGCCCACATGAGAGCAGCCAGCGCTCTCGTCCTGTTTTCTCTACCATCACCCTAACTTCGCCCTTCGCTTCTGCTCACACTACGCTTATTCAGGTCCTGAGCTTAATTCGTCCTTCCTGGCTGTAACCCTTCCTGTACCCATCTGCAGAGGAATCATCTCGCAGTACGAATTGGGTCACTTCACCCCAGAGCTGAACCTCCGGAGGCATCTCACTGCCAACTAGGGGAGTTCACACCTCCCAGCCAGGTTTCAGGCCCCCCAGAGCAGCCTTTCCTCTAGGGAGGTCTCTGTTCCCTTAGAAACTAGACTCTTGCTCTTCCCAAGGCTCCGCCCTCCCCCGCACTCTCCGTGTCCTTCTCAACCCTCGCCCCTAACTAAATCTTAAATTTATAAGGAGACACAACTTTTGAAAATGTCTCTTCCACTACCCCTGGTTTTACCCTTCCAGACTGAAACCATCTTTCCATCCCCCCCACCCCCCCGGGCTCCAGCCTGCCCCCCTCATTGCACGCTGTTCACATACAGCCTCACTGCCCTCGGGATTCCCGGCCGGCAATGCCTCGGCAAAGGAGGCATTCCCTGACTCCTGCACAATGACGTCTCAATCAGTTGTTTGAGTATTTAGAACTTTCTGGACAACTTTTTCATTTTCACCCGGACAGCTGACACAAATCAGTTTGCCATTAAAGGATGAATGTGTGATAGAGTATGAAAAGACACACCATTTTAAAGATCTTTCAAGACACGTGGGCTTTTTAGGATTAGGTACATAAAGACAGATGACATGTCAACAAATAGCACTATATTTAAAACAAATCTAGTTTTCATTGGATTGAGTTCTCAGAAGAACCAGATTGAACGTTCCCAGAGAACTGATCTTTTTTTATGAGGGGAATCACAAAACCATCATTCACACAGAAAATCTTTATATTCTGAGGCGCTTTTTTTTTTTCAGTTAGCTTCACTAGAGGTTTATCAATTTTACCGATCTTTTCAACGAACCAGCTTTTGGTTTATAGGGTTTTTTCCTATTGTTTTCCTAATCTCAGTATTACTGATTTCTGCTCTCATGTCATTGTTTTTTTTCTTCTACTCGCTTTAAGCTTAATAAAATTTCTCTCCTTTTTCCACTTTCCAATGATGAAATTTACATTATTGATTTTTAGAGTTTTATTTTCTAATACATGCATTTAATATTATAAATTTTCCTTTGAGCTTTCACTGACCCCACATATTTTGAGAAAATGTAGTTGACCCTTGAACAATGTCGGGGGTCAGGGTCACCAACTCTCTGCACAGTTGAAAATTCATGTATAACTTTTAACTGCACCCAAATCTAAGTTGTTCCTCAGTATCTGGGGGGGATTAGTTCCAGGAACACCCCCACCCTAGGCAAACACCAAAATCCATGGATGCTCAGTCCCTTATATAAAAGGGCATAGATCAATGTATACATCCGACATGCACATCTGTGTCCACGCTCAGCATGCACATCTGTGTACACCCAACCATGGGCAGAAACAGTACAGGTAATCCATGTATAGTGCACCCACATGCAAGTGGACCCCATGGTTTCAAACACATGTTGTTCAAGGGTCAATTGTGCTTCCATTTTCATTGGGTTCAAAATACTTTTTATTTTCTCTTGAGCCTCCTTTTACCCGTGTGCTATTTAGAATGTGTTGTTTAATCTCCAAATACTTGGGGGCTTTCCAGCCACCTTTCTTTCGGTCATTTGTAGTTTAATTCCATTGTGGTCTGAAAAGATACTTTTTATGATTTCTATTCTTCTAAATTTGTTAAGGTTTGTTTTCTAGTCCAGAAGGTGGTCTGTGTTGATAATGTTCCTTGTGAGCTTGAGGAGAATGGGAATTCTGCTGTTGTTAGATGGAGTATTCTATACATGTCACCTTGGTCATGTTGTGATGTCCTTACCGATTTTCTGCCTGCTGGGTCTATCGGTTAACTGAGTTACTGGTCTCCAACTACAACTGTGGACTTATCTACACATCCTTGCAGTCTTACCAGTCTTTGCCTCACATATTTTGATGCCTGTTAGGTGCATACATGTTAAGGACTGTTAGCTTTTGAAGAATGGACCCCTTTACCATTACATAATGCCTCTCCATACCCCTTATTATTCTCCTTGTTCTTAAGCTTGCTTTGTCGATTTGTTTTTGATTAGTGTTAGTGTGGTGTACCTTTCTCCAACCACCTAGGTTTCTTGTTTTATATCTCTTAGCAAGATGTGAAAAAATTGGAGTCTTTATGTCTCCTGACCAATGTTTTCTGCTCCTTTAACAGCAGGTGGCCCACTGAAAATCTGCCCAGCGAATGTTCTGGCACTATGCATGAGACAGACTGGAGCCGACGGCAGGGCATGTCCCTGTGCTGGAGAACTCCAGGCCAAAAGTGACATCGATTCTCACCTGTGAGTTATGTTCTTATTTGGAGCTGGGACTAATCACATAACGTCAATTATTGTTGTTATATTGATTATATATTAATTTTTTCTAAATTTCAGAACTCAACGTAATTGTTCATACATATTCAAGTCCAATTTGGATCCAAGAATATGTCCTATTTCATTTTAAGGAAAATAATGTTTTAGTTCACCTCCTTCAGAAGAGAAGGTAGCTTTCCTTGTTTACAGGCAGGCTACCACTCTAGAATGTGTAATGCTATTTTATTAATCATCCGTAGAGTGTGGATCAAGAAGGCTCCATACGTGTAAACTGTGTGATGATGGACAAGCCAACAATAAGGGAGGCGCGGATGAGAACCAGCCCAGCTAACCTCCGGAGTACGGCGTCTTCTTTCATCCCTCTCACTTCTATTTCATTCCAGTTCTGCCCGAACACGAGCACATTAGATTGATCTTAGAATTGTGAAAATCAAAATGAACTGAGTGATGATAATGTATAAGATCACTAGTAGCTTCACTTTGAATATTTCTCCCATTTTTAAAAAAAAGGCCAAAAAAGCAACTTGGACAAGAGCTTCTATTTCCAATCAGGTAAAGAAAAAACAGCACTGTGCTACTGTAAAAATAAAAAAATAATCTTCAAGAGTCAAGGGTACTACTTTCAAAATGGCATTACCTTTTTTAGCACTTTCATGTTTTTGCAGAGACAAAACTTGAAACAACTAACCTTTATTAGTATCCTGGCTTTAGTTATAAACGCATCCCCTCTACACTGTCTAAAAAACAACACAGCCAAAATTTAAATAAAACTAAAGAGTTGTACATAATCCTAGTGTGTGTGTGTGTGTGTGGGGGGGGGGGGGGTCACGTGACCTACAGAGAGTTGTCACAATATTAATGAAATGCATCCTGTTTCCTTTTGGTATAGTCACTTTTTAACATAGGAACAAGATTAAACGTAGTTTTAAAAATGTTTTCTTACCTTGGCATTGATAACCCTGTTTCCCAAATACTCCCCTGTTCAGGACAACAGAGAAAAAATTACCATCAGTTGAATGTTTCAGCAAGAATGCTTCTATAATCATAGCACTTAAGGAACACAACTTTCATCCTCTAGTCTTTTGTGCAAACACACTTTCCGAGAAGAAGCAAGGACGACGTGCTTTGTTAATGCTTACTTACCACCAGACACCGAGGAAACCATGGGACTCGGATTAGAAGGCTCCTGCTGATGTAAACGGGTGGGCATCGGCAAGTCTCATTCCACCCGCCTCTGTGGCGATCCCCACGTCCTCCATGAAAATCTACCCCGTCTGCATGCATGTGTGTCTGAGCCCAGCCTGAGCGTCACTCCACCTGGCCCGGCGTTCTCTCCCGTTCACGCAAGGTGTGCAGAGGGCGAGGTGACAGATGCGGCACACAGATAAAGAGCAGGGTCTGCAGCCGCTGCTGGCCCGAGTCCCCTCCCCCTTCCCTGCGCCCACATCACCCCGGAGCCCCGGGAAGAGAAGTGTGGCCGCAATGTGTCCACCATGCCCACAGCTTTCACCTGAGTGACGGTGACCTAATTCTTATTCGCATTCACAGAAACCACGTTGTACTAAGCCCTGGGCATGCTGGCTGAGAGCAAAGACCTGAAGCCAGATGGCCTAGGTGTGAGCTAGGGCAGGTCGTCAACGTCTCTGAGCCCTCGTTCACTCTATAGAAAGAGACAACGATCACAGTGCCTACTGCATAGGGTTATCGTGAAAATAAAGAGAGTTGATCATGTAAAATACTAAGAATAGGGCCTGGTGGACCTTTTTGTTCAGATAGAGTGGGAAGAAGAGAGTGGAAGAGAGAGAGAGAAACATCGACGTGAAAGGGACACATCGAGTGGCTGCCTCCCGCAACCCCAACCAGGGCCGGGGACAAACAGCAACCGAGGTATGTGCCCTTAGCGGGAAATGAACCCAGGTCTCTCTGGATGGTGGGCCCACGCTCTAACCGCTGAGCCAAACCGGCCAGGGCTTATTGACTCTATTTTACAAATGAGGAGAGGTGAATGGGTTGTATAATTGGTCTATGTTCACACATCTAGTTGGTGATGAGACTGAATTCCAGAGTTCATACTTTTAACTGAGTATATGTAACACATATACCAATTGTGTGTGTGTGTGTGTGTGTGTGAGAAAGAGAGAGAGAGAGAGAGAGAGAACGAGAACGACAGGGGTGGGCAAGGCTGGTTGGCTGGGACTTACTGTTTCCTTGGTGGAACAAATTTAGTGACATTAACAGGTAAGTTTCCATTTAGAACCTTAGCTGAGGTTGTCGCCACAGATGCCTGCAGGGCAGGCAGTTCACAGGAAGGAGGGAAGCAGACGGGGGTGGGGGGAAATGAAGAGCACTGGATAGCAAAGCACTGGGAGGGGCTACCGCTAACCAGACCGTGCAGGCCACTGCAAAGAAGAAAAATGGGTCCAAAGGGGCCGCAGCTTCTGACTATTTCCACGGAAAATACAGTAGGAACTTTCCCTAAAGACGACAGCTGTGACAGCACATTCGTGGGCTTCCTATCAACATCCATTTTAGGGCCTTTAATTTAGACAAGATTGTATTCTTGATTAAACATGAACTAACGCTAACCAACTCTGGATTAGGACTGTTAAGAGGTGCAAAATGCGAAGTCATCACGAAACACAGAATACAAAGTAAATGATCGATATGCAGAAATTACTCTGCACCAGGTGCCTCTGTCTTAACCAAAACAACGATGTTTACACAAACATGTAGCTCTCCATTCATGCTGCCTATACTAAACTGTTTTCTCCTTCTAGATGGGGACTCAGGAGGAGAGAAGTCAGGGGCCCTCTTACCAGATGAACTCCCTGCAGTGAGAGCAGTAGGTGGGCTGCCGCAGGTACGTGGCCATAAACTTGTGTCCGTTGATCTGGTGGACTCGCCTTCGCATAGCCCTTTGGCGCTTCCTGGTAAAATGTTTGAAGATTCGGTCTCTCTGGAGAGTAGCTGCATATTAAAAGAAAAGAGAAAAAAAGGGTGTAATGAATCTACCTGTACCTGATATCTGAGAAAGCATGATAGTTCAAAATACCCCCTAAATTATTTTTTCTTTCTTCAAGATGCAAAACAGCCCAGAAAATCATCATGCTTTCCATCTAAAGGTGACCCCTGGGATTCCCATTGCCTGGTCACAACTGGGTGTCCTGGTCAGGCTCCCCAGCACTGACCACGGCCTCCCAAGGTTCCGATGCTCCGGGGTGTGCAGCAGCCCAGTCTCCCGGCCCCTGCCCAGCTGCCTGGGACGCAGGTCCATCAACTGGCTGCTGAAACAGGGCTTCTCATTATTCTGCGTTCACCCTGGCTGCAGATATTAAACTGTTTTCTCCTTCTGAGGGGGTGACTCAGGAGAGATGTCAGAGAACCTCTTACCAGATAAACTCCCCGGCATCCTCACAAGCTGAACGAGGGAACTGCCCACGGCACTGTGAGATCTGCCCAAAGCATCAGCCCAGCACCGCCTCTGCTACCCGGGAATGGGTACAATCCACCCGGAATAGGGGCCAAGTTCCTTTTCTAACCTCACATTTTTAAAATAGTGGTTCCTACCTGAAGACCCTGAATACGGGGCGCTATCTGAAGACAGTAAATGATGTCTCCCACATAATTATGCCAGAACCTTTCCAAAATATGTAGATTTGTGATTAATAAAGTAAAAATGACATCTTCGACACTGCTTTTAAATTCATCACTGATGCAAAAAAAATTGAAGGAAGCGTCTAAGAATAATTTGCTAATGCATTTTTAAACCTGGAAGAAATAGGTTTCTATGGAAATACAAATGACCAAAATTTCATTTCTCAAGAAATGGAGAAAGTTTTCTAAGGACTTGACTTTCAAAACCCATCCAGGCCCAGACAGTTCCACGTATGAATTGTTGTAAGACTTCAAGAACAAGATAATGTCAGTGTTCACACCTGTCTCAGAAGAGAAAGGAGGAAAGAGCCCAATTTCAAAGGAAACTGGAATACAACGCCAGGAATAAAATATATAATTGACATATTCTAAGGTATAGCAGAAAAAAAGAAATCAAGGCTAACAATCATTTTTTATATCATGAACTCCCCCTGCCCCACCAAGAGTCCATGATGCATATGGATCCTTCATCAGAATAAAGCTTTATAATCTAAGAAAATAAAATACATAAGATTGCAAAGGAAATCAAGTATAAAAATGTATTTTAATTGAGATAGAACAACATATGTGCTTCTTCTATAAATTAATTAAATACTTGGTGGCAGACCTAGTCATTATAACAATTTCGAAGTAGTGATGTAGGTAAGTTGCATTTCATAGTATCTGTGAAAATTGTAACATAATATGAAAACAATCTGTAACTTTTATTGTTACAACAGAAACACTACTAATACCACTGTGATTTGTTTATAAGTGAAAGAAAATGCTACATTTACATTAAAGGTTAATGAAAATAAAGGTAAAAAAAAATTTTTTCTCATTAAGTTTCTGGACCATCTAAATTCTAATTATGGACCAGGGTAAAGGTACCCCCTTCAGCTTACAGATCAAACTCACTCATAAATGTTGATGCAGGGGTCTTCCTTATTGAAGTATGTACAAAGTGAATAGGAAAACAATAAGAAAATGTTAGTGAATATTTTCATATGACGGGGTCTTTGCTTTCCTATTCCTTTACAATTAGTCCCCAACACAAATATTCCTTCCCACTTACTAAGAGCATCTTTTCCTGCTCATCACACTGGCTTCTCAATTTATTAGATGTGGTGACGCATGCGACAAACGTCTTAATAGGTGATATAAACTAATGGCAAAGTAAACTGGAAAATCTTGGAGAAGTTGATGGCTTTTCATGCAGTCTAGGGAACGTGATGTTTGGGAATTCACCCCCAAAGCCAATGGCGGACAAGGCTCTGGTGGAGTTAGGTCAGTTAACAACTGAACAAAAGAAATTTGACACGGAAAATGACATGACAGTCATTTTAAGAGAGAATAATTTGAATACCAACATATAAGGAAAAGCCCCTGAGAAATAATGGTGCCTCAAACACTTGCTAAAAATATCCTATTTATAACTGTACTATAAAAGTAAAAAATAAAATAGATAGTATTCTGATATAAAATTGTCTGAAAAAATATTTTGTTCTAAAAATTAGTGCCTAGAGAAAAATAATAAAGTTTGTTCAATGTAATATTTTCATAATTTTAGTTTCCTTTTCAAACTCCTCCACTTTTTAACTATTAACAAAATTTAGTCCTCATTTTGAAGGATTCATTTTATTGGACTTTGCCCAGTAGCAATTACACTCAGATAACCAGGAACTTCTACACTACCTAGCATTACCTTAAAAGAAAAACCACTGTGACCAAGTGGGAATTTTCCCAGGAGCATAACAATGGGTATATTAGAAAATCTATTATTATATCTTATTCTAGTAGCAGGCAAAAGAAAATAAGTATGATCAATCATTTCAATAGATGTTGAAAAGGTACATGATAAAATTGAACTAATATCCAATTAAAAAAACAAAAGGATTTTGTCTGGCTGGTGTGGCTCAGTGGTTGAGCGTCAAGCCATGTACTAAGAGGTCTCAGTTTGATACCTGGTCAGGGCACATGCCCAGGTTGTAAGCTAGATCCCCAGTGGGGGGCATGCAGGAGGCGGCCAATCAATGTTCTCTCTCATTGATGGTTCTCTCTCTCTCCCCCTCTCTTCCTCTCTCCCTAAAATCAATAAAGAAAAAAAAAATAAAAGAAGAATAAAAAGCTTTTGAAAAGTAAAACTAGGAGATAAACCAGGAAGTGCTTTCCCCATAGGTTTTTTCCAAGGACTGAATGAAGTAATGTATTCAAAGTGTTTAGCACAGAGCTAGGCACACAACCCTTGAACAGCATGGTGTTTAGGGAATGGACCCCCTACTATGAGTCAAAAATCCATGTACAACTTTTCACTCCTCCAAAAACTTAACTACTAATAGCTTACTGTTGACCATAAGCCTTACCAATAACATTAACAGTCAATTAACATATTTTGTATGGTTTATGTTAAATATGTTGTATACTGTATTCTTACAATAAAGCTAGAGAAAAGAAAATGTTAAGAAAATAATAAGAAACAGAAAATACATTTATAGTACTTATTGCAAAAAAAAATCCACATATTAGTGAACCTACACAGTTCAAACTTGTGTTGTTCAAGGGTCAACCATAATTTTTTTTTGGCGTTCATTTGACAATACCAGTCAAAGTTTTAAATACACATTTCTTTTCATTCAGCAATTCAACCTCTACATTTTTGTTCTACAAAGAATACCGAAGTCCAGCCTAAGTGGCTCAGTGGACTGAGCTAAGTCCTATGGACTGAGAGGTCCCCTTTCAATTCCCAGTCAGGGCACATGCCCGGGTTGCAGGCTCGGTCCCCAGGAGGGGGCGTGCAGGAGGCAGCCGATTTGATGTTTGTTCTCACACTGAAGTTTCTCTCTCTACCTTTCTCTTTCTCTAAAAAAATCAATAAAAACATATTTTTAAAAAAAGAATACCAGAAAACAAGGATGTATCCTATATACATATAAATTGCTCTATTCCTTTTAACAGTAAAAATTAGGGTCTACACAAGAAATATCAAAGAAGGAAATGCAGAAATAGCCAGAATGAATTTGGCTAATACACCAATGTCTTCAGAAGCTCTAGCATAGTAAAATGATACCCGCTTCAATGTGTGTGTGTGTGTGTGTGTGTGTGTGTGTGTGTGTGTGTAAAATCTTCAGCAGCAATCTAATTACTTCTATTCTCAGGTTTCACATTTGTCTCTAAAGAAGATAAAATATACCCTTGCCCTCAGCCACTCAGCCCGATGTGGACAACATTACAATCAATATTCCTGAGAGATTCTTATAATCTTAGATAAAGGTCACATAAGAACAGAGTCACTACTGTACTGCTCTCTTCCACAATATTTCCAGTAGCCATTTAGTAACCACAAAATGAACCGATTTTAATGTTCCCTTGTTGGCAGATGATAAAAATTGGCCTCATAGTATCACCCTATTTAAACTATGTTGTCACCAACCTGAGACCCCGCTCAGTGCTGGCCAGCACAAAACCTGTATTGAATTACTCAAAATATCACATGCAGATGCAAATTAAATCCTCCCTAGGGGTTTAATTACCAAGAATTTACTTATTTAATCCCTTAACACTATAACGATTGGTTAAAAGGTCAGTTCACTTGCATTTTCAGTGTTTCAAAGATCAAATTCTTTCCCCCCACCCTCAATAACTATTACCATAGCAATATCATTACCTATTAATTTGATTCCTTATAGCCAGAAACATCTAGAAAGAAACTGCTTATAGCTGTAGGCAATCCCTTAACACCTCTACTACTGCCTTCTACACCTCCTGAAATGCCCTTCCCTATTTATCCTATGTATGTTTTTGAACTAGTTAACTTAAATGTATTTTATCTGCCTCAGAGCCTATGTGGCCTCTCCCCATTCCTGAATCAGGGTGAAATGCTCCCCCCTCTTTGTTCCCATAGCAACCTGGGAGTGCACCTCAATCTTTCCCCTTATCCCCCAGCACTGGGGGCTGTGTCCCTTCCACCTTTGTTTCCCAGGTGCCTCATAAGCACCTCAAGACGTGGTCATTGCAACGCAACGCCGCCCCTCCCTCTTCCTGTACACATTCTCTTGCATGCGTGCCTCTTGTTATTTAAAAAGCAAACACGGTCATGCACGCACTCCCACACACCTGGGAATGTGCAGGACGTTTGGTCATTTAAGAGAACTAGGGCTTTCTCTGACACGTTTCTCTGGACGGGTGCCACGAACAGGAAGACAGCGCGTTCGGACTGCAGAGCATTCCCTTGAGGACAGGCTCAACCCCGCTCCGGAGTGCGGAGGGCGCCTCCTCGTTGCCTGCAGCCCCCCGTTGACTTAGGACTGGGTTAAAAGGACTTGTACAGACTGTGC